CCCCACCCCACCCCACCCCATTTAACAGCAACTCCATCCCTTCAGGTGCTGAGGCCAAACTGGGGAGTCCTCTATGACTCCCAAAAGGAATACATTGCCCACACTCCACCCTCAGTTCCTCAGTGTGTCCTCCCTCTCTCATGTCCTCCACTGCACCATTTCCAATGATCTGATGATCACAATTCTCTCCCCTTCTGTCACATTGTTCTACCTTGTCTTCTCCACCCAGCTGTGAGAACAGTCCTGTTAAAATGTTAAGTCAGATTAATGTTAAGTTCTCCTCTGCTCAAACCCTCCATTGGCTCCCACTTCTCAAAGTCAAAGTCTTTACAGTCCTCCAAAGGCCCTATCCATTCTTTGACCCCATACCCTGCACCCAGCCTCTCTATCCGCATCTCTTGTCACTCTCCTTTGTTGACTCCTCTCTTTCCATATGGACCTCCTTGCTATTCCTGCACCATGCCAGCAAGATCCTATCTCAGGGCCTTTGAACTGGCTTTTACCATTACTTGGACTTCTCTTTTCCCATACTTGCATGGCTTACTTCTCACCTCTTTCAAGCCTTGTTTCAAATAACCTCTCAGCGAAGCCTGCCCCCACCACACTGTTTAAAATCGCACCTTACCGCACTTTAATCTTCAACGCGGGCTCTATTTTCTAACACTCTACTCCCTCCTCTGGAATTTGAGCTATTGAAGGGGATGACTGTGTCAGTTTTGTTCGCGGCTGGACCCCCAGATTTCTAGAGCAGTTCTTGGCACATAGTAAGCGATCGGTAAAGTTTTCTTGGAATGAACTGATTTAACATTGTTCAAAATTCAGATATACACAGCAGTTCACAGCGAAAAGTGTGTCCACTGTCTACGCTCGAGTCTCCTCCCCATCCCAAGCGATCACCTTTGCAATTCTGAATTACTACACTCCCTTTCTTTTTGTTTAACAAACGTAGCAGTCTGCACACTGTCTTCCTTTCTTCACTTTTTCGGATCACAGTTCATTTGGGGCATTGTGCCCAATGACATCCCCCCTGCCTTCAGGTGTTTATTCCGGCCCTGTTCTTCCAGCGAACGTCCCCTCAGTGGGGACAGTGGAGGACTCGGAAACACAGCTCCAAGCGCTACGGTACCGGCTTTGCAGCATCTGCGCTATCTCGCTCCGCCATTTGCGCAGCCGCTCTCTGTGCTAATATACAGTCAAGAGAGCATGTAGAGAGCCACTTGGCCAGGTGGGGATGTAGCTCAGTGGTAGAGCGCATGCTTTGCATGTATGAGGCCCCGGGTTCGATCCCCGGCATCTCCAGCGCGGGTTTGCGTGAAAGCCTCTTTTTCATTAAGTTTTGAAACTAGGCGTGTTTGCAAAGCCTGAGGGGCACACTTCCTATCTTGGAGTTTGCACAGCTTGGAGGGGGCGACCGTGGGACCCACCTACTCGATTTCCCAGATACCACCTCTGAACTCCAGATTAAAGTATCAGAGTGAGCATGCCAGCGCCGTTAGAAAGAGTGCGTTTGCCGTCCTTCGCCCCCTGCACTTTCGGGGAATGGAAAAAGTCTAGGTCGCGGGCAGACCAGAGTAAACAGAAAACAGACTTAGGTGGGAGGGGCAGTCAGGCATGATCTACAGGCTTTACGTTCCCCGGGCTAAGGAACCATTTGATTAGATCACAACTAAACCGACCTTTAAATTTGGAGCCGCAAACAGCCTGAATAGTACCTTGAAGTAAGAATTGTTGAGACGCCTTAGCAGGCCGCCCGGCTAGCTCAGTCGGTAGAGCATGAGACTCTTAATCTCAGGGTCGTGGGTTCGAGCCCCACGTTGGGCGTGCAGTGTGTCTTCTTTTCTTGTATTTCAATCGATGACAACCGGTTCACTACCTCTGTGTTCTAGGACAACAAAAACCTCATTCTGGAGATTTCCTGTGTGCAGCAGTCAATTGGCCTTTTTTTGTAGCTACACCTTTGTTCATGGATTAATTTATGCTTTACCGCTAGCAAAGTGAATTTTACATAAGTATATGTAAATTATTAGTTTTTAAAATAGTTAAAATATGCAAAATAAAATTTACCATTTCAATAGTTTTTACATGTACAGTTCTGTAGCTTTTCACACATTCACACTGTTGTGCAATCACCATCTATCCATCTCCAATCGCTTCTCCGCCTTTTGGCTAAGATCAAGTGTAGTATCCATCTCCAAACTTTCTCATCTTCCCCAACTGCAACTCTATCCAGGAAATACTATCTCCATTCTCTCCTTCCTCCAGCCCCTGGCAACCACCATTCCACTATCTCTATGACTACTCTAGGGGCCTTATACATATATTTGTTCTTTTGTGACTGGCTTATTTCACTTAGCACAGTGTCTTCAGGGTTGATCCGTGTGTATCAAAATTTCTTTCTTTTTAAAGCTAACTAATATTCCATCATATGTTACATTATTTTTAACTGTTCATCTGTCCACAAACACTTGGTTAGTTTCCTTCCATTTTTTGGCTCTTGTGAATAATGAAGCTATTAGCATCGGTGTGCAAATACCTGTTTGAGTTCCTGCTTTCACTTCTGTTTGGGGATATACCTAGAAGTGAAATTGCTTACCATATGGTGTTTATTTTTTTCTTTTTAATTTTAACTCCAGTATTATAACGTATGGTATTCCTATGTTTAATAGTTTTGAAGAATCACTATACCATTTTCCACAGAAGTCCACAAAATAAGTTTTTAAGTATCTTTTGAGTAGGTTACAAACTGTACTGTTCAAAAATTGAACCATATATAAAAATATTCAGTGAAAACTGTCATCTTCTCTCCTTAGGTAACAACTTTTGTTTCTTTGTATATATTCTTCCACAGTTACATATTTTTGATGCAAATATATTTCTGTTTTCCTCTATTTTATACAAAAAGATAATTACAACTCTTACATTTGGGGATCTTTCCATCTCAAGACATAGGAAACTTTCTAAATCTTTTTTTTTTTTCAGCTGCATCATATTCCCCTGTAGATGAATCACAGTTTATTTAACAAATCACCTACTGATGGACATTTATGTTGTTTCTAACCTCTTATTATTATAATCAATTCTGCAGTTAATAAGGATACTGTGTTGTTATTTTGCACTTTTGCACTCATATCTGTGGGGCAAATTCCTAGAAGTGAGATTGCTAGGTCAAAGCTTAAATGTGATTGTAATTTTATAGATGTAGACAAATCACTGAACTGTGGATCTTACAGGCTGATATTCCTTCCTACCAGCCATGAATCAGATTACCTGTTTCTCCACTACTTTGGTGGCAATGGACTGCTTTAACAAATCTAACATGACTCCACCCCCCTTAAAATTGCCAGGGTCCCTCACTGCCTGTCCTAGATAAGATGATACCCATTGCAGGGCCTACAGGGCATGGCCTGACAGGAAGAGAGACCCTCCTTTTGCCTCTCAGAGGAGCATACTCAAGCAAAAGATTCTGAAGATC